CATTCTCTCTGAAAAGCAATGGAAAAAATAACCTCAAGTGAGGGTTTAAAGAATACAACAATTCTACATTGCTGTTTTGTCACATATTTTACTCTCCAGACTTATTATAACTTCAGAACTTTTAACTTATAATATGTATACTGTATCTCCTACTTTCTTACATGGCATTTTTCCACTGCCGTTTAAAAAAACTTCTCTGAAGTGTGCAGGGTGTCTGCACACTTAAAATTTGGTTACCTGTCACCAAAATGATATATAAAAATATGTTATAAATTTATACTTTGTCAATAGTATAAATACTTATTTCCCTGTATCTTTGTCAACAAAATCTTAAGTCTTTTCTAAAACTCACATGTATGCCACAAATAATGTTTATTAATATATGCCACGCTTATTAATTCATTTTTGACAAAAAATTCTCAAATCTGTACAAAATCATAAAAGACCCTGAATAGCCACAGCAATCCTGAGGAAAAAAGAATGAAGCCAGAGGTATCAAACTCTGACTTCAAATTACACTACAAAGTGACAATAATCAAAATAGCCTGGTACTGGCAAAAAAGACACACAGATGAATGAAACGGAACTGACAGCCAAGAAACAAATCAACATCTATACAGACAAAGAATTTTTGGCAATGGAGCCAAAAACACACAATGTAGAAAAGAAAGCCTCTTAATAAATGGTGCTGGGAAAGTTGGAAAATTACGTGCATAAGGATGAAACTAGATTACTGTTTGTCCCCATGTCCAAAAATTAACTCAAAATAGATCAAAGACCTACATACACAACCTCAAACAATAAATTACATAGAAAACAACACAGGTAATAAACTTATAGACACTGATATTAGAGGGGGTTTTATAAATCTGACTCCCCAAGGAAGGGAATTAAAAGGAAAAAATAAATAAATGTGCATACATCAAACAAAACAGCAACGAACCAAATGAAAGAAGATATTTGCAAATAATACCTCTGATAAGGTGGCCAAGACATGGAAACCACCTAGATGTTCTACAATAGAGGACTGAATAAAGATGACATGGTACCTATATATAATGAAATACTGTACTACTCAGCCCTAAGAAAAGATGATATAGTGCCATTTGCAACAACATGGATATTATGTGAGAGCATTATGCTAAGTGAAGTGAGTCAGATGAAAAAGGACAAAAACTATGATTTCACTCACATGTGCGATATAAAACAAAAAGCAACAAATGAACAAATGAAACAAAGGAACAAATAAATAAACTCAAGATACGGACAAGAAAATGGTGGTTACCAGAAGGGTAGCATGAAGAGGAGTGAGGGGAGAGCAAAGGGTATTGGGTGTCAAATATGTAGTGACTGAAGGTTATACTTTGGGTTGTAAGTACACAACACAGTACAGATATTTTGTATAATAAAGCTGTACACCCAAAATTTATATGTTATCCTGATAAATTTAGTAAGAAAATTCTATCTTTATGGCTGGTTGCCATACACAAAATTCTGAATTATTCACCTTGTCCTTTTTTGGAATTTTAATTATGAAAGAAAACAAAATTTGTTGAAACATCATGCATTGTCTGGGTTTTTAAATTACAAAAAGCAGTTACCTTTGCTGCTTTTTTGTCTCCTTCTATGCGTACGCCAAGAAGCCGTCTAAGTAGAAAATAGGAGATTTCCAATTCTGTGAAGATCTCTGGTAAAGCGCCAACTGCACCAACCACCTGCCCCACCATTCTGTCAGCACGGCACAAAGTGGGATCAATTTTTGTTCCAACTCCTGATTATAAATAAGATATATATTTCCATCTTTTTATTTCTTAAAATGTTTTGCAAAGGTTAAAGTCAGTCAAACCAGTGCAGCATGTATCTATACATTTTAATCCAGTTATAACAGCTACATAATCAAAATCACATACTATTCTCATATAAAATCCCTGCTTTAGCTCAAAAAATAAGAATACTGGAAACAAATGTTGTTAGAAATTTAAGAAAAGATTCTCTTGATTAAATTATAAGGGCAAATGAGATGCCTCCCTAACTCAAAACAAATTTCATTTAATAAGATAGTCTACCTTAATAAAGGCTGAAAGACACAAATTTCATAATTAATTTGCAGAAATAAATTGATAATTGTTACTGCTCGTTGGCAGTACACAATGTGTTGACCAAGATATCTACCAAGAAGGTTTCCTGGAGGCTAACTGGGCACAAATTTAAAAATAAAGGCTATTTTAAAGAGGAGCCTCTCATAAAACCACAGTTTAAGGAGAAGCTTGAACTAAATTGTCTGCCTCCTAACTGAACTGCCTGCCTGCACTGTGTTCATGCCACCTAAGCCAATACTTATAAAGGAGTTCCTGTTTCAATCAATAGAACTGAGTCTTTTCCCTGTCCAATTAGAGCAGCACAACTATACCCCCATTGGCATTTTCCTCAACCAATCAGGATAGTGTTTTCAGAAGCAATAAAACTGAGGATTTCAGTCCTCATTTGCATGAGGACAAATAAATGAGAGGCCAGGGGACTTCTCTCTATAAGTCAGCTCCCCTTTGGATCAGATATCCAGGAAAGATTGAAAACTACATTTACCCAGGTGGGAACAATGAAGGTGTGTCACCACCAGAGCAGAATAGAGCACAGCAAGGCAGAGCTGTCTAGATAGAGAGGGGCCTCACAGGTAGGAAGCTAGTAGAGCCATGCAGCACAGATGAGCCATAACATTATTGACCTATTCCACAGCCAACTAAATAAAGTTTCCTTTTTCACCTCACCCCAAAGTGGAATTCCTATCTGTGTGGAATTGATACCAACAACTATCATGGCACAATCTTTTCATTATATTATTCTACTTACATGTTTGTAAAACAGTTCAATAAAAAGTTACATAAAAATGTTTCCTAAATTTTTTCATTAAAAAAAAAAGCACCCAAGTTTCGTGTGTTGGAGCATCATCCTGTACACAGAAAAGTTGCAGGTTAAATTCCTGGTAAGGGCACATACCTAGGTGTGGTTTGATGCCCAGTCAGAGTCTTTAGGGAAGGCAACTGATTGATATGTCTCTTACACTGATGTTTCTCTCTTTCCCCCACCTCCCTCTCTCTCTCTCAAGTCAATAAATATATCTTCAAGTGAAGATAAAATCAGATTCCAAAAAAAATTACACGATCATATACAGGAAACTTGTATTATTGGTAGAATGGAACATATAAAACACAGAGCAAATGTCAGTAAAATGATAGAGTGAAAGCCCTCTGTTATAACTCTCTTCTCCACAAAAACAATTTTAAAAATCCCAACTGTCAAAATCTCAGAATCACTTTCAAAGCTCAGAAATTTACCCACAGGCTTGCAGGAATCTGTGGACATTTCGCTTTAAAAGGCAGGGATTGTCAGTAAGAACACCAATTATATGACATTTTAACTTGTCCTAGTGCCATACCCGTTCACCAGCTCAGTTGGCAGTACAGTAAACAACATGAACTAGTGGTAAAAACCAATAGGCTGGCAGTCACTACAGAGAGCAGAACAGGGAGCAGGGATGAAGCTCTTCTAAAGTCTCATTCCCTGAAGACTACCATTTGATTTGTCTGATCTTTCCCTGGAAGATTCCACTTTGAAGGCTGTCTGGGTGCCCAGTGTGAAGTCTTTAACCCAGAGAGCTGAAGGATAACAAGCTGAAAATAAGACACTAACCAAAATTCTTAAAGGAAAAAACTTTGGATGTCCATGGAATACCACATGGCTGTAAAAAAGAAAGAACTCTTACTATTTGCAAAAGCATGGATGGATCTGGAGATTCTGTTAAATGAAATAAGCCAGTCTGAGAAAGACAACTATCACATGATGTCACTCATATGTGGAATGTAATAAAATAGGTCCAGAGGCTTGGATGCATGGAAGAAACTGCCAGATTTCAGAGGGGAAGGAGATGAAGTGGATGGGAAGACATTAGTCAAAGTACTTATATGCATATTTACATAGCCCACGGATGCAGGCAATAAAGTGAAGACCTGAGGTGGGGTAAAGTATAGGAAAATGGGAGGCATCTTTAATACTGTCAACAATAAAAAGAAGTCACAACCAAATTGTTAAAAACAGATGTAATGCAAAATGCACAAGGGAGCCTCAATAATAATTACAACTGATTTGTCATGAGAAACTGGGCGCCTCACAAAACGAGGTAACATTTCAAAATGCCCTAATAATACAACTAAAACATAAAACAACAAAAAAAAGCTTTAGTGAACCTCTCACAAAATTTTAACTTTTCCTGGATATTTGTAATAAACTTAGTAAGAAATTAGCCATAACTTAAGAGTCCATCAAAATGAAAGTTATCATACTGATACAAGTGGTATTTGTGGACAACTTAATGTGTAAAAGTTTACATAAAAAGCAAACAAAAAAAGTATAAATATGAGTACAATGACAGCCCTGTCCTGTGTAGCTCAGCTGATTGTCATTCCAGGCACCAGTTGTGGGAGTGAAGGAGGCAGCAGATTGATGTTTCTGTCTCACTGATGTTTCTCTCTCTCTAAAAAAATCAGTAATAACAGCCCGGCCAGCATGGCTCAGTGGCTGAGCATCTACGTAGGATCCAGGAGATCGTGGTTCAATTCCCAGTCAGGGCTCATGCCTGGGTTTCAGGGCACATGCCCCAGAGGGGGGGGCATGCAGGAGGCAGCTGATCAATGACTCTCTCATCACTGATGTTTCCATCTCTTTCTCTTCCTCTCCCTTCCTCTCTCTAAAATCGATAAAGTTACATTAAAAAAAATTTTTAATCAATAAAAACATACTTAAAAAAGAATACAATGATATATAGTAAATGCTAAATCATAAAACTTTGTTATTACAGAACTTATTATATGCATGTCACCAAAATATATCCTTTATTTATAAAAGCATTTCTTAAAAAAACTTAGTTACTTAGTACTCTAAAATTAACAACTGAACTATGTATATGTATCTGCCCCATGACACTCCTCCATATTGGGTTAAAATATCTAACTAGAGAGATATGCTTTTAGATAACCCATTTCAAACAAAACATGACATGATTAGACACCAATAAAGGCTTATGGATGAAAGTAAGTTTCGTACCAATAAGACCCCCTGGAGCAGCATACTGAAGATCATTGTGTTCTGCAAAAAGTGATACAATTTTGGAAAAGATTGATTTACACATAAGGTTTCCTTCACTATCTTTGGAAACAATACCAGGTCTGACTTCTATCTCCTGGCCCACCTGAAACATATAAGAAAGTAATTAAAATATTTGGAACAACACAATGACAATTTACGGGTAAATAGTCCTAACTGGTAGATGGTTAAAATGAAAAGAAACCTTGGATGAATAATTTCAAACACCACTTTAAAAAGAATAAAAATTAAAAACGTAGAAGAAAGGAAAAAGTAACAACTACTCAATTATTAAGCAATCAACTGTAAGAAATCTACAACTTTGATAAGGCATATTTAAAATACAAAGTAATAAATAAAACTATACATATATGTGTGTGTATATATATATAAAAGTGAATTTTTAATCTTATTTTACCATACTCTTGTCCTGGTTAAAAAATATAAAATTCAGTTTACCTTTAATACTCCTTTTAAAATACTACCGCCAGCCACACCACCTTTAAGGTCATCAACCTCACAGCCAGGTTTGTTGACATCAAAAGATCTAATAACTAGGAAGAGAATAGGGAAAAAAGGGAAGGAACCATAAAGCTCATCCTGTTATTTTAGTTAGAAGGAATATTCTTTCAAATTACATATTCTACAGGAGTAGAATATAAGTTTTCTAAGTAACCTTAGAGTTGAGGTTTTGGGAAAATATTATTCCAGTGCTTACTGTACTCTTACTTATAGTAGAAAAATAAAAACACTAATCAGTGACATGGTTGTTTCACTTATACTGTGAAATACAATGCAACTATTATAAAAGAACTTAAGCACTGTGTGTGTGTGTGTGTATTTATATATATATAAAATTATGGGATGACTGTTCTAGGCCAAACTATTCCTGCTCCATTAATGTTGAATTCTAACTCATAGACTCAGGTACCTCAGTATCTAACAATATAAGGACAGAGCCTTTAACAGGTAATTAAGCCCTGACCAGTGTGGCTCAGTAGTTAAGAGAGTTGGCCTCTAAAATCAAGGGTCTCAGATTTGATTGTGGTCAAGGGCAAGTACCTGGGTTGCAGGTTCCATACCTGGCTCCTGTCAGGTGTGTGTTAGAGGCAACCAATCGATGTGTTTCACATCTCTCTCTCTCTCCCCCTTCCTTCCACTCTCTCTAAAGATCAATGGAAAAAATATCCTAGGATGAGAATTAACAAACAAACAAATAAATAAGAGGTACTTAATGTCAACTGAGGCCCCTGGATGGGCTCAACACCAACATGACTGGTATCCTTCTAAGAGGAAATTTGACACACCAAGAAATACCAAAGGTACACACACACACAGAGGTAATATGTGAAGACAAAGCATCATGTCGCAAACTGCAAGACAAAGAAAGGCCTCTGAAGAAACCAAATCTGCCAACATGCTAATCTCAAGCTTCCCATAAAGGTAATAAAATAAATTTCTGTTGTTTAAAACAACCCACAACGTGGTATTTTATAGCAAATGAACACAGTAACTCTCTGAATACTATTAAGAAAAAAGTAGCTAAAAATGATTCGCCAAGGTACAATAGTACTCACTTAAAATAGACTGTACAGATACGTATGTTTATATGATTACATGAACAGAAAGAGTTATGGAAAAGCATGTTTGCACCAGTGTTGTAGGACTGAACTTTCTATTTCTATACCTCTATGTGACTTCAGTAATTAAAAATTTAGGTTTTTGCCCTAGCTGGTTTGTCTCAGTAGTTAGGGCCTAGGCCTGCGTACTGAAGGGTTCCGGGTTCAATTCCAGTCAAGGACACGACGTAGCTTGGTTGCAGGCTCAAACTCCAGCCCTGATCAGGACATGTGAGGGAGGCAACCAATCAATGTTTTTCTAGCATCGATGTTTCTCTCTCCCACTCTCTCTGAAAAACAATGGAAAAAACACCCTAGGGTGAGGACAAAAGAAAAATTTTAGGTTTTTTTTGTTTTGTTACTTATTTTATTGTTGAGAGTATTACAGATGTCTCCCTCCCCCCAAATTTAGTTTTTGTTTCTTCTTTAAATCCTCACCCAAGAATATTTTCCCACTGCTTTTCAGGAAGAGCAGAAGGGGAAGAGAGAGAGAGACATTGATGTGAGAGACGTATCTATTGGTTGCCCCCAACACCGGTCCAATCAGGGCCAGGGATCGAGTCTGCAACCAAGGCATGTGCCCTTGGATGGAACTGAATCGGGGACCCTTCAGTCTGCGGGCTAATGCTCTAATCACTGAGAAAAACTGGCTAGGGCCCAAAATTTAATAATTCTAGGACTATGTAAGCCTTGAGGAAAACAGTGATCCTTAACAAAAGATGTGCTTCCCAATCACCCAACAGAACATTTCCCATTAAAACACACACAGTCCTAAATGAAGGTCTAGAAAGACTGAATGTTTGGGAAAGGCTCCTATAAGCTTGCTTTCAGGAATTCCCAACTTAATCAAATATATCAACATTGGTACTATAAAATCAGGGTAAAAGAAACATGAAAATCATTCCATTCCTGATTAAAGCATTATCTCTACATAAGAAATACTTTATTGCTCCAATCCTGGTCACAGAGTATACCACAACGAGAGCAAAAATGGTGAACATTTGTATTTCATTCAGGATTCTGTTGCTCATTCAATGTTGCACTGACAAAACAACCTTGGAATTAATGTATCTTAATATAACATGTACACTTTCATTTTTCACTAAGTTCAAATTGGCTGGTTGCCCTTGGTTTCCATAAACTCATTCCCTTTTTTAAATTCAAAAAATATACAAAGATTGTAATATATTATCACAAAGAATAAATAATAATGAGCAGGGCACTGTCAGATCGTTTGTGTGCACTTGTACATCTATGAGCCAGTAAGGCCCAGGCTGTGACAGACTAGGATGCTCCCAGTGAGCTGGGATTGGCTGACACTGTGTGTCAGGCCTGAGAAACTCTGGGCAAGCATGCACAGAGGTGGCTCCAGGGCAGTTAATTGCATGTTGCAGAGTCTGACTTATGTATCAGAGTTCCTTCTATCTTGTGATGGCATTGTCACAAGTATGATTTCTAAGGTGGTTGTAGAAGGGGGATGAGAGGAATAAAGAATCTCACAGAATGCCTTGAAGAGACTCCAAGATGGAGACAGGTTAAGTTAAAGCTACACTGACTTTCTCCCAGGACCAAACTAGAATTACAACTAAAATATAGAAAAACCACCCTCAATAAACAACTGAAGATGAGTTGGAGGGCACCCTCATAACCAAGGAGGAAAAGTGGAGACCACACAGAGGCTGGAAGGAAGTGAGGAGGCACGAGAAGGCTGGCCGGGTTGCCATAGGCAGCAGCTGAGGGTCTGGAAGGGTATCTCAGCTGTAGTGGGATCCCACTGAAGACTCTGGGACCTAAACCCCAAACTGGACTTCCTAGACCAGAACACCAGAACTGAGAAAGGTGCCCACATAACATCTGGCCATGAAAAGGAGCAGGGTTTCTGTCTGCCAGGGAGAGTGCTGAAAATGCAGGCACCCTCTTAAAGGGCGAATGCACTAAATTTCGCTGGGAGCCACTCACCTTGGGTTCCAGCAGAGGCAGGAAAGAGTGGACTAGGGCTGTGTAAGGAGAGTCTGAGGTTGGTCTGGGTCTCTCTGGGGAGAGCTGAAGAGTACACAACCATCAGGATCCCTGTGCTAAGTCCTTCCCCATGCTGCAGAAACTATCTTTTTTAGGCAGAGTTTTCCCATCAATGCAATTGCCCCACCTGTTGGAATCCCCCTTGCCACCCCATTGTGGAGCTTATGCCCTACTGAGGACCACAGCCTGAGGCTTATTAAGTGACTGAAACTAACAGACAGCCTAAAGATAGAGGAGGATCTCTGGGTGTTTTGAGTCTTTGTCAGACCTACTTCTAGCCCAGGGCTAATAAAAGCAAACCATGGTGTGCAGCTTGGTCCTTTCTGCAGTCTCCAGACACAGCAGAAGAAGCCACAAGTGGAGGATCACTGATAGCTCCAGACAGGTTTCTCAGGGTCAATCACAAACAGTGTTTGACACTGGCCTGCATAGAGACCCCACAAAAAGGCCCAAAACCAATACATCCAGTGGCCAGCTTCAGGAAACAATAGAGCAGGATACAATAAGCTTCCTAAGCAGTATATCTACAGGTAAATACTGGCAGGCTTAAACCTTGCTGAGGTGAATTCTGCTTCATGTGATCAGCACCAGCACAGTAGCCTGCACAATAAGGGGGGGTTGAGCCTCATTGTTAGACAGCCTGAGGGTAGAGCCTATGCACAAACAAGCCAATGGTAATTAAGACCCAATTACAACAGGAAGGCCCACACAATGCAAACAAGGCACATTATTAGAGCGCCCAGCTCTGGTGATCAGGGTGAGTGCACCACTGGGTCCTACAGGTCACCTACTACATAAGCCACCCTACCAAGACTAGGAGTCATAGCAGATCTACCTAATACACAGATATAAACACAAACAGGCAGCCAAACTGCTGAGATAAAGAAACAGGCCCCAAATGAAGGAACAAAAGAATTCTCCAAAACAAGAAATAAATGAAATGTAAATAAGCAATTTATCATATACAGGGCCCAGAGTAATGATTTTAAGGATGCACAACAGCACAAAAAAATACACAGAAACTATAAAAACAATCAGTGGGAAATGAAGAATGACATAGCAGAAATAAAGAATACACTGGAAGCAATAAACAGCAGGTTAGTGGAAGCTAAGAACTAGATAAGTGAATTAAAGACAGGGTAGAAAAAAAAATCAGAGAACCCAAAAGAAAAAACAATTAAAAAACAGGATGACAGTTTAAGGGAGCTGTGGGACAACATGAATTGTAACAATATCTGCACCATAGGAGAGCCAAAGAAGAAAATGAGCAAGGGATAGAGAATTTGTTTGAGGAAATAATGGCAGAAAATTTCCCTAATATGGTAAAGGGAAAAGTCACATAAGTTCAGGAGGCACAGAGAGTCCAAAGCAAAAAGAACCCAAAGAGGCCTACACCAAAACACATCATTAGTAAAATGTCAAAAAATTAAAGACAAATAGAATCTTTTTTTTTTTTTTTTTTAACATATCTTTATTGATTTCAGAGAGAGGAAAGGAGGGGGAGAGAGACAGACAGAAACATCAATGATGAGAGAGTCACTGATCGGCTGCAGCCCACAACCTGGGCATGTGCCCTGACCAGGAATTGAACCCCAATCTCCTGGATCCTAAGTCAATGCTCAACCACTGAGCCACGTCCGGCTGGGCCAAACTGAGACTCTTAAAGGCAGCAAGTGAAAAGCAGTATCTTACCTACAAAGGAGCCTTTCTTGAGGCTGTCAGCTGATTTCTCAACAGAAACACTATAGGCTAGAAGGGAATGGCATGAAGTATTTAAGGTAATGCAAAACAAGGATCTGAAACCAAGACTACTCTATCCAGCAAGGCTATCATTCAGAATAGACGGTGAAATGAAGAGCTTCCCAGACAAAAAAAGGGCTAACAGAGTTTATCACCATCAAACCAGTGCAGCAAGAAATGTTAAAGAGACTGCTGTAATAAGTAGAAATAGAGAGATAAACATAGGCATAAAGAATTAAAATGGCAATAAGTACCTATCAATAATTTAAATAAGTGGATTAAATACTCCATTCAAAGACATAAGGTAGCTGAATGGATAAGAAAAGATGACCCATATATGCTGTCTACAAGAGATCTACCTCAGAAAAAAAGACTCACACAGGATGAAAGTAAAGGGAAGGAATGATCTTACTTATATGTGGAATATAATGAACAAAAGAAACTGACAAAATAGATCTAGAGATATGGAACACGTTGACAAATCTCAGACAAAAAGGAGGTGGGGGTTGGGAGCATGGGGTGGGGTGTCAGGAAAAGTTAAGCAAAGAACTTATATGCATATCCCATAGACACAGACGATAGTTTGGTGAAGGCCTGGTGGAGAGGAGAGAGGGGGGAGAGTGTCAATGCGGGCAAAAAAGGAGGACATCTGTTAATACTTTCAACAATTATGATAAATTTTTTTTAAAATAGAAAGGTCAATAGGTTAGGGAGCTTACCAATAAGTCGGGGTTCTGATGTAAAGTCTCTTAAAGGTACTGGAATTTTCTTTACAATATACTCACAGACAACTTCAATATTATATTTCAACTGAGCGGAAATTGGAATAATGGGAGCTCCTTCTGCTACTGTACCTATATGACAAAATTCAGAGTGATCAAAATTTTATAAATTGTTCTGTACAACTGTTAGGTAAAATAATAAGATTATTAAAACAGCAACATATAAAAAGTAATTCTTCTGTTTAGAAAGATTACAATACTTTATCCTTCTGAAACTGAACACTCTAAAGTTAGATTATTATCTATAATAAAAAAGAATAGCATGTTAAAAGAAATAAATACTTGTATTACTGAAAAAGAAACTTTCATAGCTGAAAAGATTTCCAATAACATGTATTTACCCCCCGAATACATGTCAATAGAAAATCACAGACTCACTGCTAATCAAAAATTGCTGGTGAACACAAATTTGCTTTTTATTAATTAAACATCAAACAAGCTGGTCCATCAAAGGGACTGAACAGAAAAAAGATTTTATAGGTGTACTTTTTCTTTCCTATGCCAGATAATATAGAATAGAGCCATTATTTCTAACTGAAAAAGACAAGAAATCAAATTTCAAAAAAATACACAGTAGGTCTTACCCAAAATGAAAACAGTACATTTTAGAAAAAGGGAAGCTAAATTCATTGTCAGTTTCAGTTCTGGAAATAGGTGGTCAATGAGAAGAGTCAAATAATTAGAAAGCAAACCAACAAAAAAGATGTGTTATTAACTTACACTATCACTGGAAACGTATTTAAAACATCTAATTGGCACTCACTTTGGTAGTACATATACTAAAATTGAAATAGTACAGAGATTAGTATACCCACTATGCAAAGATGACACGCACAGCTGAGAAGTTTTCTGAATAGTTATTATCTAATAAATAACCCCTAGTTGTTAGCCCTGTCTGGTGTAGCTCAGTGGTAGAGCAAAGGAATACAAACTGAAGGGCCTCGGGTTCTATTCCCAGTCAAGGAAATAGTTTGCGGGTCAATCCCAGGCCCTCTCTTTCCCACTTCCTCCCTTCTCTTTCTAAAGTGAATGAAAAATATATTCTTGGGTGCAAATTAACAACAAAAAAGTTGTTATATTGTATTTTTAAAAAGCAATGTTTTTACATTTGGAAAAAAACTTTTCTAGGTAATATGCACTTTCCTGTTCAGAAACACATTTCACTCCTATCAAATGTCTAAAAGCAACAGCGCTGTTAAGTAACAGATAAGAGAAATAGAGTTTACAATTCATAGTCATTATTAAAATATCTGGATTAAACGCCTCTCAAAGTGATGCAGACATTTATTACATATTACAGCTTCTTACCTTGTACAAACCCAAGGATTTGTTCATACTGTTCTTTAGCCTGACTTTCTTTTACCAAATCAATTTTATTTTGTAGAATCAAAATATGTTTCAGTTTCATAATTTCTATGGCAGCCAGGTGTTCAGAAGTCTGAGGTTGGGGACAAGATTCATTACCAGCTAAAATGATGATAAAGAATAAAAAAGAAGTCAAATAAGATGAGTAACAAGAATTAGCTGGTACCTAAAAGACTTTTGGATGTCCCACTCAAAGCAAATTCCTGGGCACCAACTGCCAAGTGTGGTTTTTTTTGTAAGCCCTTGTTTAAATTCCATGACTGATTTCATTGGATTTTCTCAGCCTTTTAGCTCCTATTCCTATTCCTAAGCACAATGCTTGTAATTAAGAAATTTGGCCTCTCAAGTTTATTCACAGCTTTTACTCAGGCATAATAAATACCCTTCTGGTTCTATCCAGTCTTTAGGATACTCTGACCCTGTCTTGCAACAGAATATTTCAGAGGGAAAGCTGCTTAATATAATCTATGAATTATAATTACTCAAGCCTAAGAATGTAGATTGCAAAGAACTCCCAATGATCCCCATCTTCAGGTGTCCACATTGTTGCGAAATGCTTCCCTTTAATGTGTAATAGGTCAGTTCCTGAGAGAATACTGAAAAGTGATGAGGTATCATTTGTCAAGTTATTTAGACTTCGGTTTCCAACTTGAAAGCTCTTTGTCGCTCTTAAAACAGTTGTTATGTTATAAGGGCAGTTGGGCAATTTATGGAGAGGCCCATGTGAGGAAGAACCAAGGTTTGAGTGGTTTTTCAACTTGATAAATCCTGGCATAACTTCTAATTTCTGTAACTGAAGACCTTCAGAGACAAGAAAACTCCTAAGTCACAGAAATAGTGATTAAATGTTAGTTATTCTAAGTTATTAGGTTCTAAGATATTTTGTTGTACAGCTACTTATTAACAAAAGAGAAAAACACTATAAAAAACAAAACTGTATTGTAAAGAAGTGTTTTGTTTAGTATTTCAAAAGGGTCTAGCAGTTGCCTTGGACTTCTTAAAGATAAACCATATAATCCTTGATAAGAGTGTCCTTATTCAGGGCAAGGCTAACTACACCAGATTTCAGGTGTAGCTATCATCCAATCTTTCTTTTTTATAATTTTAGTGCTACTACTAAATAGCAACTACTCTTTTAAAAAAAAATCTTTATTGATTTCAGAGAGAGGAAGGGAGGGGGGAAGAGAAAGAGAAACATCAATGATGATTGACTGCCTCCTGCAAATCCTCACTGGGGACCGAGCCTGCAACATGGTCATGTGCCCTGACAGGGAACTGAACAGTGATCTCCTGGAACCTAGGTTGGTGTTAACCACTGAGCCATGCCGGGTGGGCTACTTTTTCAATAGAGGCTGGCCAAGCCAGAAAGGCCAATGTGATTGTAGGGTGGGGGATTGGGAACCCAAGGTTTAGTCATTTAGAGATCAAAATCTACCACATGGACAACGAATCACTTATGCCTATTAATGCAACCTCAATAAATACTCTGAATACTGAAACTCAGGTGAGATTCCCTGGTTGGCAGTATTTCATCTGTAATGTTACACACTGAAACCATGAGTAATCCCTGTCTCCACAGAGAGAAGACAATGAAAACTATATGTTTGGAACCTTCTTGGACTCTGCCCTATGCATCTCTTCCTTTAGATGACTTTAACCTGCAGTCTTTTTCTGCAATAAATTGTAACTGTGACCATTTGGCTTTCAGTGAGATCTGTGAGTCTTAACAAATTATCAAAGCTAATGATGGTTTAGAGAACTCACCGAACTTGCAACTAGTATCAGAGATAAAGGCAATCTTGTTTGGAGACAGTGCCCTCCAACTACATTTAACCCCCAAATCCATTGTGGCCTCCAATAACAAAATCTCTTAACTTACACAAGGAAGAAAACATAACCCTAGCTTTGAAAGCATCCATGCAGGCTTTGATTTCAGATTTTCATATGAATGAGATCTGTATCTAAAGAAAACCATTATACTGACATTGCTGTGGGCAGCCCAAAGATATTAAAAATTAACCACCCTCCCATGCTTCTAATATAAAAAATTCTAAAGGAAAACAATAGGAAAAATGTACTGTTGAATATACATAGACATATCTCCTCTCCCCTTTCCTCTTTTCTTGTATACTACCATAAGAATTCTCAAGATACCAGCTCCAGGTTTACCTTGCTTGGTAATTTATAGGCAGACATGAATGTTAATTTGGATGACCTGTTATTTCCCAAGTATGTCCAGTAAAAACTCTAGTTCCCTTTAAATATTTCATCTTAGATTGATTCTCGATTGATTTGTAATACCAGTTCTGATATTATTTACCTATCAACAGAAGAGCTGCATCCATCACTGCTGCACCATTCAGCATAGTAGCCATCAAAATATCATGGCCAGGACAGTCAACAAAGGAAACATGTCTAACAATCAAGACATAACAACCAGATTTCAGGTCAATTAATACTTAAATATATAAACCATAGACTGCTTAAAGTTAAACCACTGCAAAAGTAATTAATCTTGCTCTGAAGTGGCTATAAAGCTTGAAGCTTCCAGAATTCTGAAGCGAGATTACTAGCTAAAATTAAAACAAAGATCATTACAAAGCAGATAAAAATGAGCTATGAGCAAATAGTGCTTACCTAAATACAAGGTTCTAATCAGCTTGGGAAAACACTCAATTCCAATTAAAGTAAAATTATAAACTTTATAAAATTACGAATGAATTAGAGAAGAATCACGTTTATTTGTCTACCATATATGCTCATGTATTTTGTCCATGTTCTAGTTGTATCATTTCCTTTTGATCATTTGCTTTTTAGCTGTTAGAATTTTTTTGTGTTCTTTATATTTTAGTCCTTTATTGGAGACATGATTCAAAAATACTGACTATGGGTCAGTAGTTTGTCTATTGACCTGTTGTGTTTTTTGTTTTTTGTTTAAGAATGGTTTTATTTATTTGAAAGAGAGGGAGAGAAAGAAACATCCACGAGAGAGAAACATCAATTGGCTGCCTTCTGCATGCCCCCTAGATGGGATCAAGCTGGTAACCCAGGCTTGTTCCCTGATTGAGAATTGAACTGGTGACCTCTTGGTGCACTGGACAACACTCAACCACTTAGCCACACCAGCCAGGCCTTAATTTTCTTAACAGATCTTCTGCAGAGCAATTATTTTTAATTTTGATGACCTGCAACTTTTTCATTTTTAAAAATGTAATGCTCTTTACCATAATATGTAAAAACACCTCAATAAATCCTAGATCATAAAATAATTTTGCCTGCATTTTCTTCTGAAAGTTAATTTGTCCATTTAATATTCGATTGTATATTTTGAATATGCATTCAAAATGTACGAGAATACACAAATCTTGAGTATAAAGGGTACATTTTGAATATAAAGTGTTACATTTAAATCTTTTCTTTTTTTCCCTAGGAACATTCAATTGCTCTAGTACCCAGAAACAGACCCACACCATTATGGTCAGTTAATATTTGACAAAGGAGGCAAGAGTATCCAATGGAGTAAGGACAGTCTCTTCAATAAGTGGTGCTGGGAAAATTGGACAGATACATGCAAAAGGATGAAACTAGACCACCAACTTTCACCATATACAAAAATAAACTCAAAATGGATAAAAGACTTAAGTGTAAGTCACGAAACCATAAAAATCCTGGAAGAAAACATAGGCAGTAAAGTCACAGACATCCCACGTAGTGGACTTTTCACTGATACATCTCCTAGGGCAAGAGAAACAAAGGAAAAAATAAACATATGGGACTACATCAAACTAAAAAGCTTCTGCACAGCAAAAGAAAACAGCCTCAAAATACAAAGGAACCCCACGGTCTGGGAAAACATATTTGCCAAGGATGTATCTGATAAGGGGCTAATTTCCAAAGTGTACAAAGAACTCATAGTACTCAGCAAGAGGAAGACAAACAACCCAATTAAGAAATGGGCAAAGGACTTGAATAGACACTTCTCCAAAGAGGACATACGGATGGCCAAGAGACACATGAGAAAATGCTCAACGTCGCTAATCATCAGAGAGATGCAAATTAAAACCACAATGAGGTATCACTTCACACCTGTCAGAATGGCTCCATCAACAAATCAACAAACGACATGTGCTGGCGAGGGTGTGGAGAAAGGGGAACCCTAGTACACTGCTGGTGGGAATGCAGACTGGTGCAGCCACTATGGAAAACAGTATGGAGGTTCCTCAAAAAATTAAAAATGGAGCTGCCTTTTGACCCAGTGATCCCACTTCTAGGAATATATCCTAAGAATCCTGAAACACTAATCAGAAAGAATATATGTACCCCGATGTTCATAGCAGCACAGTTTACAATAGCCAGGATCTGGAAACAGCCCAAGTGCCCATCAGTAGATGAGTGGATAAAAAAGCTGTGGGACATTTACACCATGGAATACTATGCAGCTGTAAAGAAGAATCTCGTACCCTTTGGGACAGTATGGATGGACCTGGAGAATATTATGCTAAGTGAAATAAGCCAGGCAGCGAAAGACAAGTATCATATGGTCTCGCTCTTATATGGGAATCTGAAGAACTTAATAAACTGATGAACAGAATAGATTCAATGACATGGAAAAATAGATGAGACCGACGAAATGTCAGAGGGATGGAGGAGGGCGGGTGGGTGGAGGGGGAGAGAGTAACCAAAGAATTTATATGCATATATACACAACCCAAGAACATGGACAATGGTGGGGAGAGGGACTGGGGAGGGCGAAGGAATGGGGTGGAACAGGTTATTGGGGAGAAAAAGGGACATCTGTAATATTTTAAACAATAATAAAATTAAAAAAAAAAAATTGCTCTAGTACCATTTGCTAAAAAAAAAAAAAAAAAGGCATCCCTTGCAAAACTGATTTGTTACCTTTGTCTGTAACTCAGTTGGACATATATAAGCTAGTCTATTTCTGGGTTCTCTAATTCTGTTCCACTCATCCACCATCCTTTCACCAGCCATCAATGCTGTATTTTTCAAATCAAGCAAACCAATTCTTGCCACTTATTTTTTATATGAAATTGCTATATATAAAAAATTGTTACATAAAATTGTTCTAGTTCCTTTCTCTTCCCAAGTAAATTGTAAAATAATTTTATCTATACCAACAAAAGCCTTGCTGGGATTTTAATGGGTATTTTGTTAAACCCATATATAAATTTGAGCAGAATTAGCCTCTTTACTGTGTTGAGTTTTCCAATGTATGAACATTATCTCTATTTAGATCTTCTTTGAGTTTCAGAGCTGTGTAACTTTCACAGAATAAATTCTATGTGTTTTATATCTAAGTATTTCATCTTTTTAGGAGATTTAAGTAGAGTACATAAAATTTGGTATGTATGCATTCAATGCCAGTATAAAGAAATGCAATTAACTTTTGTACATTGACCTGGTATCCTACAATCCTGGTAAACTTGCTGAACATGGTAGTAGATACCTTGGAGATTCCTATGTAGATAATTATACATCTAAAAATGAAAAGTTTCTTTCTACTTAGGAAAAACTACCTTTTTCTGCCCTATCGCAGAACTTCTAGTACTATGTGTAATAAATGGGGAGAAGAGATATTATTTCCTGCCTTATTCCTGAACTTAGGGTAAAGAATTCATTCTTTCATCATTTGATGTTAGGCGAAGGTTTGTTGTACTGTTTTTTTTATCAAGTTGAAAAAAAATTCACCTATATTCCTAGGTATCACAGTGGGTTTTTCCTGTTTATAAAAATGTAAATGTTTTTCTTTAGTCTGACTATAGAACAAAAATGATGTAAACATACTAAAAGTGTACAACTGACTTCATCTTAAAAGGCTGACTCCATTTATTTTTAATTTTTATTTTTAATACATCTTTATTGATTTCAGAGAGAGGAAAGGAGAGGGAGAGAGAGAGATAGAAACATCAATGATGAGAGAGTCATTGAGCTCGCAACCCAGGTATGTGCCCTGACCGGGAATCAAACCCCGATCGCCTGGATCCTAGGTCGATGCTCAACTGCTGAGCCACGCTTGGCCGGGCAAGGCTGACTCCATTTAAAAACTAACCCACCGGAACCCCTGTATTTCCCCAACCCCATGGACTATGGAATGTGTAGAAGCTTCAGATTAATCAAAAACTCCCATTAATACTTCTTCCACTATTTAGGCCTATGGGGGCAAGGCACTCTCAGAGTTTAACCCTGGAGCAAAAGCCAGGGGTATGTGGTCTCCCCGGTCCCCTTTAATACCACTGCATTCCTTTCTGAATACATAGGTCCTTAGAAGGATATACAACATATGATCTGTGGGTTGGAATGTGTGGGGGATCCATTTTGTTTTGCTGCCTCCTAGGACTGTGTCTCTGTAAATAAATTCCCTATTAAAACTGTTTAAACCAACAAGCTAAACTTGTCTACATCACTCTCTAGCTTCTCGGCTCCTTTGCCATTTGGATACCACTTTGCATTTTATATCCACTTGATACTGTCAGGATATATTCATACAGAGCCCTTTCACGAAACACTAAGTCAGCCTTATCAGCCTTGTTGTACCCCTATAATAAATCCCTGTGTGGTCATAATATATATATTAATTCTGTTAGACATTGTGAAATTTTATATGCTGACATTTTATAAGACATTTTTTGGGTTTATATTTATTACATGTGTAGTTTTTTTTCCTCTCTTTTTTTAAAATTTTATTTTTGTTTAAAATATTACAGATGTCCCCTTTTTCTCCCCAATGATCCGTTCTACCCCATCCCTCCCTGCCCAGTCCCTCTCCCCACCATTGTCCATGTCCTTGGGTTGTGCATATATGCATATAAATTCTTTGGTTACTCTCTCCCGCTTCACCCATCCCCCTCCTCCATCCCTCTGACATTCGTCAGTCTCATCTATGCTTCCATGTCATTGAATCTATTCTGTTCATCAGTTTATTAAGTTCTTTAGATTCCACGTATAAGCGAGACCATGTGATATTTGTTTTTCGCTGCCTGGCTTATTTCACTTAGCGTAATATTCTCCAGGTCCATCCATACTATCCCAAAGGGTACTAGATTCTTCTTCTTTACAGCTGCATAGTATTCCATGATGTAAATGTCCCACAGCTTTTTTTCTCTTTTTTGGAATGCTTGTTTTGCTATCAGGGTGATACTTGCTTTACAAGATGAACTGTTAAGTGTTTTCTCCTTTTCTATTTAGTCAAATCCATGTTAATTCTTTTTTTCTTTTTTTAAAATATATCTTTATTGATTTCAGAGAGAGGAAAAGAGAGGGAGAAAGAGAGATAGAAACATTAATGATGAGAGAGTCATTGATCGAGCCCGCAACCCGGGCATGTGCCTTGACCGGGAATCAAACCCCCATCGCCTGGATCCTAGGTCGACACTCAACCGCTGAGCCACACCCCACCAGGCAGTTAATTCTTATTTAATGTTTAATAGTAGTCTGCACTGACACCACCTGGGCCTGGAGATTTTTCTCAAAAGTTTTTAAAATAACAAATTCAATTTCTTTAATAGCTGCAAGGCTACTTAAATTATGTAATTCACATTGGGTTAGTTGTGGTAGTAAATGTTTTTGAGGAATCAGTCAGTGCATTTATCTATGCTGTCTACTTACTTATGTAGTATTCCCAATATTCCATTTAATATTGTCAGGATATATGCTACCTTTCCAAGTCCTGTGAATCTATATTTCAAATTAAAGATGAAAAAATATATGTATTTTCATAAATAAATAAATAAATATAGCAGAGTTGTTGGAAAATGAAAGATAATATTACATGTGTAAAGATTTATAAATCTGGGTATAACATACTTAAAATAAAAACTATTATGCATCACCATATAAATGTATACATTCTGAATAATTTTAGTTTTTAAGCCTTTAAAATTTATAGAACATAAAGTAGCTAAAGAAATTTTAGATATACTTTCAAGGGAGTAAAACTGTGATAAACTGAAGTAAATTAGATTGCTTTGGGAGGGGGGAAAGCACACAACTGTATTACCAGAACGGGAATGGTCATGCAAAAAAGGAATCTGCTGAAGAATCTCTAGCATCTTGAGAAACTAGTGGAAATGCCAACCTAATGCACAGAAGGCAGCACTTAAAAACAAACAAAGACACACTATTCAGTCACCATTTTCAAGAACTGTATATTCATGGCCTCATGTTCTAAACTTTCCTGGGTAACCCTAACATCCACATACATCAATTGGTTATCAATGTCCTCTTATCAAGAATCAAAATATGCAATGATATTCCAAAATCCAAAGTGTTAAAAAGAAATAAGAATGTCTTTACTCTTGTCCTACCCAAGAAACAAGAAACAGCAATGTTGCAAACAGAGGAAACCAGAAAAATGAAACTACCAAATGTAATGATTTCATTCTGATTATATGGTAATGCTTTAGAGAACCTGCACATCTGTATTTTAGCTTAGGTTTAAATAATTGGCCTTACATTCATCTTTATTATAAAAATAATAATATACTTGAAAAAGTTATTAAGCAACTATTGCAAACTGACTTCTTAGATAGAAAATGTTTTTCAAAGTTTCTTACCCACAATTTGGCAAAAATGTAAGTTTAGGTATAGATTATTATTTAATATCTCCATTTAAAAGTTCAATAAGCACAAGACCAAAAAAGTGTGTTTAGCACAAAAATAATCACCTGACTAATTTGAAGTTCCCTCTGGTCCCTGGAATGTCTGTAGGGAACTCATCAGGTGTACTACTTCCACAGGATCTATAGCATTCTGGCCGAGGACAATTTGCATCATCAAGTTTATAAATCTAAAAGTTTTGATGAAAAGACTGAATTTATCATCTGCGTCTTTGACAATTAAAGTAAAATAGTTTCTACTTCCACAGTATATTATGTACCTTGGCATTAGCGTACCCAAGTTTGATTGTGATATTTCTTTCCAATTCATTTTTGAACCTGACAGTGTGAACTCCAGAAATAGCTTTGACAACTGTAGATTTTCCATGAGCAACATGACCAATTGTACCTACAAAAGACAAAAAAAAATATGCACCTCATTACACCAAGTATTTCAGTATAGTTAGAAAAAAGCCATAGCACACTGTAAATATTGCAATTGTCACCAGGCTATCATTTAGTATATCCTACTGTTCCCAAATATCTAAATCATGTCACAAGCATGCTTGCTTACAGGAGCTAAAACAAACTGCTAATGGTTAACCACACCATCTGCAGACAGCTCAGACAGCTGAACCACAGAACCAACTTGCTCTCAACTGCTCCACCCCTAACCCCCACCTCTAGAGAACTTGTCTTCATTAACATACTAAAAATCATACCAAGGGGGAAGAAATGTACACTGCTAGACACAATTTGTGCTTTGTGCTAAGGTGCTGGCAAGAGTGTGTGTCCCTCAATACTTCCATGAAGTGGCTGTCCCTTTCTTAGAACTTCCCAGCTGTCAATCTCACCTACCCAAGCAGCTGCTTTAAAACCTCCCCAAATTCTAATTAAGGAGAGAAGGTGCTTTTAAAATATGAGGTTACCCTTCTCCATTCCCTGACCAAAGAATGAAGTTTCTGCTCTGCTTTATTCTTGTTCTATTGGCGAAAGTGACATTAAGGAGAAGGACCTTGTTTTGGGTCTCTGACATGGAAAGGTGGGTAACAATATATAGCCAATAATTTTGTCATTTTTTTCCTTTCACATATCCTTTTCTATGCAGAGTTTTTCTGAAACACAATTATAGAGAACTTTGCCATAAACCTGACTGCCTTGTTTAAAAACCATTCTATGGCCCAGCAGGGAGTGGCTCAGCTGTTGAGCACTGACCTAAGATCCAGGAGATCACGATTCGATTCCTGGGCAGGACACATGCCCGGGTTGTGGGCTCCGTCCCCAGTCAGGGCGGTGCAGGAGGCAGCTGATGAATGATAACTCATCACTGATGTTTCTATCTCTCTCTCCCCCCCCCCCTTCCTCTCTCTGAAATCAATAAAGATATATATATTTTAAATAATACATAAATACCATTCTATGTCACCTCCAAGCTAAGTAGGTCACCCCAAGCTAAACTTAAAAAGTTACTAAAATTTTCATTAACTATAGGGTAAGCATATGTCCCAGGGACTGGGCCATCAGACAGCCACCTGCAAAACCAAATAAAGACAAAAGAAAACTGACTCAAACAGGTTAAGGGTTAGGCATGAAAAACATAACGTGTTTCTGTGCATTTGCCAACTTGATGCTGGACAGTACATATTATGACAAAGTTTTCATCATGAACATGCATAAGCTTCCTAACACAAAAATCAAAGTTCCCAATTTTGAAGGGTCATGGCTGTAGAAATGATTCCTTATGGGTTCCATATGTGCTGCAAATAAATTTTGCTTTGTGTGGTAGCCACTCTTGGTGTAAGGTCTGGTTCCTTGCTCACCAAGAAGTGAATCCAAGTTCAGTTAGGTAACATGTTGTTCAAATTGCTGTTAACCTCAAAAAAGATCACCTTCCAAGACATTGAAGATGGCAGCGGAATAAGTTAAAGCAATATACACCTGCTCCTAGCACTGAACTGGATAAACAGCTAAACTTAGAGCAATTAAAATGAATTAACAACAGAAAAACACCTGAACAGGAGTAATATATCCAAGAATTGAAAAACAAGATACATAGAGACTGGTTAGAGGGGCAGAGGCATGAAAAGGAGTTATACCTCCACCCAGGGACAGTGGTTTTATCCCAAAAAATACTGTGGCTCCAAAAACCCTCCCAGAGGAACGAGGGGTGTCAATCCCCCCAACCCAGAACACCAGCGCCTGAAAGAAGAGCATGCATAACATTTAGCAGCAAAAAAATAAGCAAGGAATTGGCCCACTGGAAAGGAGAGGGAGTCTGCCTGAATCCAGGGCGTTCTTCATAAGGCCACTGCACAGGGACTCACTCTTTGGCACTCACCCAGAAGGAAGCCAGAAGGAGAAGGGTAGCATAGTGCTGGAGACCTGGAAGGCAGGCTTCTGAGGTCCCAGTCCCCAGCCAACATCACACACTGTCCCCAGAAGCCATCTCCCAAGGTCCAGCACTTCTATTCTTACAGCGCCACCTGGAGAAAGTGCATTAACACTGTCCTCTAAATACTGGCGACATCACCCTTACAAGCTGGAATAAAGAACTGTAGGCTGTACCCAAAAGGGACCTGAACAGTGCCTTTTCCTCTGGAGAAACTATAGACAGCCTTAGATGAACACTGAACTGAGTGGCTGGGAATAAGAGCCAATCTTTCCCCCTCCCACGGGGTAGGCCAGCCCAATCCCCAAAGGAAGGCACCCAGGGCATGGCCTCAGGCTACAGGTGTTGGGGGGCAGAGATGTTGATCATGCTCTGTTAACCAAGACTGTAAAAAGGGGAGGGCACCTAAAAGGAATAGGACCATAGTTGTTCAACGATTATTCACCTTACTAGCTACAGATAAGATGTTTTCCTACTGACCTTGGGAAACTGGAAAATGTGCTGCAAGGAAAAAAACAACTGTAAATAGAGAGACATCTTGGGGCCTGGGTGGGTCCATTGCTCAAAAAGGAAAATGCATTCTGAAAACAGATAAAGGACCAGATGCACTTTGATTTGGTTGCTGTGCTCTGGAGATTACCTCAGGAATACCTACTATTCACAGGTCCTAGGACTGGCAGAAGTGGGTTTAACACCATTGCAAATTAACTTCCTTGTTACCAGACTTCAAGATCCTTAAAGGAGACACACAGACCACTGATCCTCCCTCCCTTCCCCCTTGCATGCAGCCGTATATAACCAGCCATGTAATAAGGGAAGAGCAGAGCAGATTTTATATGTGGACAAACCCCACTGCTCTCCCTTTTGCCAGCAATAATGGAATAAATGCTCAAATGATTCAACCCTGTCTCTGCTTAATTGGCTGAAGTAGAGATCGGTAGCCTGGACCCACTGTCTGGTTTCACAGGCAGCTGCAGAATAAGGGGGAGGCCTGCATTTGCAAGCCTCCCTTTAGGATCTTTGGCCAGGTGTCTCAAATTAGCCACTAACTAACCTGCTACAGTCCCTAGCCACTCACAACAAGGGGCTGCCTGAATGTGCATTCCAAAACCTGCCTGCACCACAAGCCAAGCACAGATCTACAGCTGGAGCAAAGTGTAAAACAGAACTGGAACTTTGGGGCTGCCCTCACCAGAAACCTTCACCAGGGCCTGTCCCCACCATCAGCCAAGTGCAGACTAAAAGGAGGGATGAACTGCAGGTCAGAACTGGGCATCTCAAGCCACCCCCTTGGAGGTCTACATCAGCGCATCTCACAATGAGCTACAAGGAGAGAGGGGGGTGACAAGTTCTCTCCCACCCCCACATGAGCGGGTGCTACCCCAAGAGGAGAAGGCAGACTTGATCTATTACTCCAATCTCACCTACACTATCCTGCAGGTGCAGCCTCAGAGGGAAAAGGGATCACAAAGCAGAACTGTGAAATCTGGTGTGTTCCCTTAGCAGCTTTCCCTTTCAGAGCTCTGGCCTGAAGCTTAAAGGAGAGCACCTGCCTCCCCTCTTGAGGGATAAGGACCCTCACCAACTGAATCAAAGGGTGGATTAGATTAGCATTCCCACATTCTGCTGGCAAAGCCTTGCTAATCTCATATCCACTGAGGGACGGGTTGAAAAGCAGAGACTGGACACTAGACCTGACTCACTTAGAGCACTCGAACAAGGCCTCTGGCAGAGCACTGCAGAGACAGAGGAACTGAGCAGCCCTCTCTCTCCTCCCAAGGGAAGGCGACACCCCAAGTGGAGAGGGGCAGCCTGTTCTCTTCCTTGAAGCTCTGACTACATATCTGAGCTGAGGACACCATACAGAGGAAAGGGGACGTGTCCCAGAGCTGGGGTATCTGGTGTGAACCCCTTGGAGCCTCCCCTCAGGGTTTCTAACAGGGCACTGCTAAGCTAGAAGGCAAATGGCTAGCGCCCCCCTAGAGATCAGAGATCCTGTGAAACCCCATTCAAAAGGAGGAATGGATCTTCACTCCCATCTCCAACTGGCTCCATCCTGCTAACCTTGATCCTGTGGGGTGAAAGGTAAATCCCACCCACGAACAGGCCAACAACAATCAGCTCCCAATCACAACAGGATGGTCTACATAACCAACACAAGGGAAATTACTAGAGCATTCAACTCAGGAGTTCAAGGTAACATTAGCACCGTGTTTCACAGGATACTTACTAAATAAGACCACCACATAGACTGCGTGCCATAGTAGTTCTATCTTGCATTTAGAAAAAACGGAAAGAGACAGCTAAAATGGAGCGACAAAGAAACATCCCCAAACTAAAGAATAGGAAAATACCCAGAAAAAGCCCTTGATGAGATGGAGGTGAGCAAGTTATCAGAAATAGAGTTCAGTCTAATGGTTATAAAGATGCTCAAGGAAATTAATGAGAATCCCAAGACACTTAATGGAAAGGTCCAGGAATTTGGTGAAGGCATGAAAAAAGAGCTAGATATGATAAGAACCAGGCAAAAATGAAGAATATTATTATCTGATGTCAAGAATATGCTGGAAGGAATTAAAAGCAGACTCAGTGAGGCAGAGGATAGAATAAGTGAATCAGAAGATAAGATAAACAACAACACTCAATCAGAGGGGCAAAACCCACCCCCCAACAAACCACTTAAACAGCATGAGAACAGTTAAAGGGAACTCTGGGGCAACATGAAATGAAACAATATTCACATCACAGGAAAGGCAGAGGGGGAGGAAAGTGAGCAAAGGATAGAGAACCTGGTGGAGGAAATAATGACAGAAAACATCCCTAGGCTGGTGAAGGGATGGAGAACATGGGGAGGAATACAATGACAGAAAACTATCTTAAGCTGGTGAAGGAGATAGCCACACAAATTCAGGAAACACACGATTGAGAACAAAAGGAACCGAAAGAGACCCATTCCAACACACATCATGGTTAAAATAGCAAAAGTTAAGGACAAAGAATATTAAGGGCTGCAAGAGAGA